TGTTCAGGGATGAGGGCTAGCTGTTGTGTATTTTACTGTTTTGTTCAGCTAAAACAGATTGTGTGCTTGCCTCCCAGTATCTACACTGCAATTTTCTTGGCTTCCTGTGCTGGCAATGCTGCTTGAAGGGATCAGTCTGAGACCCTGAAGAGCATTCAGAGTTACTCAAAAGAGAGTCAAAAGAGTCACTTCTGCATAAGGTCATCCTGGGCTTTAGACCTATTTTATTACTCTTCTCCATGCTGTGTTTCATACAGAAACTATGTGCAGTGCTCCAGTGGTGATGTTACCGGAAGAGACTTCCCAGCATAATTAGCTGCTTAACACTCATAGATCCTCTTCATATGTTTGGAAATCTGCCATTTAATTTGCAGCTGTAGAGTGGCTTGTTTACTAAAATATGCAGATATCTTTGCAAAGGATTTTTCTCTCAATAAGCTCTTCAAAAGGGTGTGGTATACAGCATACATAACTGTGCTGTACAAAGTGAAGAAAAGGTGAGTTTTCTGAAAATATCTGCATATTTACTTAGTAACTTGTAAAAAGTGTCCTCATACAGAACTTTTCTGGCATAAACTTGAGGGAGTGTTGTGAAGATTTAATTGCACTATAATCATTTAATCACCTGATATCTGATATCTGATACTTTCTTAGCGTATTTTCAATGCAGTGATATATAGTATCACATCTCATTCTTTTTTCAGTGGAGATGTACAGCACCAACTGAAGAGTATTAGACTATATGTAAACCATATACTAGGTTAAAGCCATGACCTTTGCATCATGTTGCTCCGCTGCTGAGACTGTTACTCAAAGGAGTAGTACAGACTAGATAGAAAGCTGAGTTGCCAGAAGCAACTGCCAGTGATGCAGCCAGAGATCTCATAAACTTGGGAAAATATCTTTGCCACTTGCATACTGTATCAGATAGATCTTTCAGAAAGGTGTAGGAGTTCTTTTTTTGGAATCAAAGTCCACTGTTAAAGGAAAATCCTACAGTGATTGCAGTGAGTATAGTCACTTTGTACTGGTAAAAAAAACAAGAACAATGAAAGTTTAATATCAAGCCGAAGACTTAATTATAAAAAAATGGGAAGAAAAAAAAAAAAGAGAGAGAGAATAAAAAAGGAATGAAAAATGAACCACTGATTTCATTACAAGGCCTGGGAGGAAGGTGTCTTGATATCTCTGCATACACATGCTCAACAAAGTTAACTTTCAGTAGCATAACAGCTGTATCTTCAAGCTGCCTCTAAGAAAGTCTGCAGAGATAGATTAGCTTTGTCATTCTTTACTCCATCTTCTGCATTGGAGCTTAAGAGGACAATGCTTTTTGCTTAGAAGAAAATGTGTACTACATCAGGACTAAGTATCAGGTAAGTAGAAGAGAAGTAGAAGAATATGCATATCAGGAATCCATTTGAGTGAAGATTTTCTGAGTTCTGTGGAAATAGAAAAAAAAGAAAAACCTAACGTTATATATTTGTATGTATTTGTCTTTATGTGACCATAAAGAAAAAAATATATTACTATATAAACAGAGTTTAAGAATTCTGATTGTGTCTGGGGAATAGTCGGAACAGTAAGAATATTCTTAGCCTTTTAAACCAATTTTAAATATATACAGCAGAGGGCACTAGTGTTATTGAATTGACCATTGAGTTGATATTTTAGTACTAGACAGATGAAAACAAATTGCTCAGAAGACAAAGAGTTGTCAAGATAGACTAAAGAAGCTGGTTGATGGTCTGTGTTCCATGTGTGGATTTATAAAGCTAAATCTTTGTGTCTCTAGCATAATAGACAGATACTGAATAACAAATTATTCTAGTACTGAGTTCCAGGTGAATCTTTATGTAAAGCCTATTAACATACTTCCATAATGTTCTTCAAGACTTTAAATTAATTTTCCACTGTGTTTATGCACTGGCTACTTTTTTTTTTTTTTTTCCCCGTGGTGTTTCCACACTCTTTATATTAAAATGACTGAGACAGTACTTCCTGAATACTTAAGCTCTTAGTGATGGAAAGATGCAAGTATAAAAGAAAGTGCTGTTTTTTTTAATATGTTCCTTCTAACACAAGGAATCTCACCACAGTATATTAACCTCATGCAAAACTTGCAGGTTGGAAGTGAGGATTTTCAAGAGGTTGCCTGGCATAGCTTCTGCTGGCCAAGGTGACTTTTTTATATCATCAGATCCTCTGTACTTCAGTACTGTATTCAAATAAAATGTTTTTATCTTTTTTTTTTTTTTTTTTTTTTTAACCCATGGAGCATGTGTGTAGTGATGGAAAAAGAAGATTTTCTGAATAAAGGAGTGAATTAAGAGAATGATGGGAGATGGTGAATCAAGGAGTTGGAGCAGGAAAGAAGTCCTGCAGCATGGGTTGAAATGATTGGCTTTACGGAGGCTGGCAAAGCAGCTGAGCATAGTTTATGCACGTGCTGGTTGATGTTGAAGACATCTGCTCTCTCAAGTTTGTTATGCTTTTATGTTTGTATGACCTTAGTAGTGTTGGCTATGCTTTCTTGTTTTACTAATCCAGTAGTTCTTCTAATCCTTCAGAATAGCCCATGTACAGGAATGAGAGTACAAAGTAGCAAAAAGAAAGGAAGAGAAGTCCTATGCCCTGTTGCAAAGCTGGCCTTTAACAGCAAATGGGTATGAGACAAAACATAAAACAAAGCTTTAGCTTTACAATCCACATGTGCTTACCCGGGCCACACTACCCATATAAGGGCAACAGTCAGCTCTGAAGCTTCATAGAGCAGGCTGAGTTCTTGTCTCAGTTACAGTGAAGACAATAACATTGTCCCAGTGCAGTAGAAAAATAATTAATTTGGCGTGGTTCTGCATCTGTTTTATTACTCATTAGTGGAGTCACTAAGGGATAAGTTTTAGAAGAATAGAAAAAATGAGGCAGGAAAAATGATAAACCTGCACAATAGCACAAAACTAGGGACAAAAATACAGGTAAAATAATAGGAGCTATCACAGAAGATGATTAATAAATATTGAGCATCAAAATTCATGGATTACAGATTTTAACCAAGGAGCCTGGAATCAATATTAGATTAATTGATGTCTGACCACAACAGGCAGATTCCTCTTCATGGAATCCTTTTCATCACCCTTTTTACAGATAGTTTTACTACAATGGATTTTTTATTTAAGAAAACTTGTCTCTTAGTATGCTTTAGTGATTAGTTTAGGAATGTTTATCCCTATATTTGGCAAGCAAAAGCTTGGGATAGGGATAAAGACATAAGAGCATCTTCTGAGTGACCCTGTAAACCTACATAAAAACGAAGGTGTTACAGCAGCCACCCCTCACCAGAGTCTAGTATGTCACAAACCCATGAAGCCAATGGTCAGGAGGACTGTTATTGGCAAAAGGAAGGAAAGGAGAGGCTGGAGCACTGTAACATCTAACACTACGGCCATGGTGTTCTCCAGAATCATATGACAGAAGTTAAGCCACAGAGAGAGAAGTTCAGTGACTTGCTCAAGGTTGCAGAACACATTAGTTTCATGAATCTTTCATACCAAGATTGATGTTTTATAAATAACACTTACAGAGCAAATCAAACAAACAGCTCAGATCTTCCAATTTCCATTCACAGGTATCCGTCATTGGCTTTTTTTCTGCAGTAAATTATTAAATGTGAGATGAGAACTCTTGCCAGCTCTGAACCATTATAACAAGTTCAAAAAAATGCAGAAATGAATTCTCAAATTGTCTGAATATATAATTAGAGAGAGTCTTTCATTAAATGAATTGCTGCGAGATGCAAGTTAGTATATATTCTTTACAGAAAGATAGCTTCTTCAAACAAAATGAAACAATTCAGAGCCTGGAGTGGAAAACCTTTGCCTTTTAGTATTTTATTTTACTGGATACATGTATTATGTATCTCAGTGCTCTAGGTTAGAAATATGCTCTAAGCTTGCTGTAATTTATAAGACTTCACTTTTGGCTGATTTATAGGAAATTTCATTAATCTTTACAGCAGAGGGACCTTGTAGAAAGAAGCAGATTGAAAGTGAACTGAAGGCTAGGGGCTTGAAGAATTACTACAAATGAATCAGTACTGAAAGACTTAGAATGGTAATGATCATTTTTAGTGTAAAAATCTTTTTCCTCCTTACAGTAAGATCTGTAGGATTTTTTCTTTTAGAGATACTAACGAAATTGTCAACCCTGCAGCTACAAGATATTTTTCAGCATTTAAATGGCTATTCTTATTTCTGTGTTGGGCACACATATACTAATGAGTGTTTCTCTGCTACTAGTGCCAAACAAAAGAATTGAAGAGGAAATATCATGAATTTGGATGATGCTGTTTAATGATAGGGAAGAACTGGTGTTCAGTGTGTTTCTTTTGTATTTTGTTATTAAAATCTAAAATAGGAAAGATATTGCCCTAACATTTCCATGATCTACTACATTTAGTATGAGAAGTTTTATTTTTATTCAGACTCTGATGTAGGAATTCTATTCATAATGACAAACAGTTTCACCCATTAAAAAAGACAGGAATCATCACTCCCTCTTCATATTATCTGTTGTCTGCATTTATTTATAATGTGTCAAGAAAATTGAAACCTTAAACATTCATCATTATTATCTTACTTTTTCTGGGGGGAGGAGGGAGGTGCTTGCCATTTCTTTCAACTCTCTTCTTGATTTAGAATATTTCTCTTAAGTATCGAGTGTTGTTGGAATTGTTATCTGCCTCTGCCATCATACCACATGCATTATACTTTAGAATAAGCAGGAAAAGTCTGGACATTTCTTATCTCATTGTGAATTACAGCTTGCATAACTGTACAGGAACTGAAATATTAGACTTTGCATAGCTATTTGTGCTACAATTTGATTAAATTGGTAGAGTTGCGTGAAAGGACTTGAGAAGTCTCTCTTTATTTGGAGAGCACATTTAAATATTTGGGATTAATTTAATGTCCTTCTTCTCCCTTCTTTCTTTCAGACTATTCAAACTCCAGAAGGACCAACACTAGATAAATTATGAATGTTGAACAAGATGACCTTACATCCACAGCAGATAATGATAGGTCCTAGGTTTAACAGGGCCCTATTTGACCCCCTGCTTGTGGTGCTGCTGGCTCTTCAGCTTCTTGTGGTAGCTGGTCTAGTGAGGGCTCAAACTTGCCCTTCAGTCTGCTCCTGCAGCAACCAGTTCAGTAAAGTGATTTGTGTACGGAAAAATCTGAGAGACGTGCCAGACGGCATCTCCACCAACACCCGGTTACTCAACCTCCATGAGAACCAGATCCAAATCATTAAGGTGAACAGCTTCAAGCATCTAAGGCACTTAGAAATACTGCAGCTCAGCAGGAATCACATCAGAACAATTGAAATAGGGGCCTTCAATGGTCTGGCCAATCTTAATACTTTGGAACTCTTTGACAATCGTCTGACCACTATCCCAAATGGGGCTTTTGTATACTTGTCAAAACTGAAGGAACTTTGGTTGAGAAACAACCCCATTGAGAGCATACCTTCTTATGCTTTTAACAGAATCCCTTCTCTCCGGAGATTGGATTTGGGAGAATTGAAAAGGCTTTCATACATCTCAGAAGGTGCCTTTGAAGGTCTGTCCAACTTAAGATATTTGAACCTTGCCATGTGCAATCTGCGAGAGATTCCTAACCTCACCCCACTTGTAAAACTGGATGAGTTAGACCTTTCTGGAAATCACTTGACTGCCATCCGGCCAGGTTCCTTCCAAGGGTTAATGCATCTTCAGAAATTGTGGATGATACAGTCCCAGATTCAAGTGATAGAAAGGAATGCTTTTGATAACCTTCAATCACTTGTGGAGATCAATCTGGCACACAACAATCTAACACTACTGCCTCATGACCTGTTCACTCCACTTCGTCTAGAAAGGATCCACTTGCATCACAATCCTTGGAACTGCAACTGTGATATCCTTTGGCTCAGCTGGTGGATTAAAGACAAGGCACCCTCTAATACTGCATGCTGTGCCCGTTGCCACACACCTCCCAGTTTGAAAGGAAGGTACATTGGTGAGCTGGACCTGAACTACTTCACATGTTATGCTCCAGTCATAGTGGAGCCACCAGCAGACCTGAACGTTACTGAAGGCATGGCTGCAGAGATGAAATGCCGGGCATCAACCTCCCTGACCTCTGTATCTTGGATTACTCCAAATGGATCTGTTATGACACATGGGGCATACAGAGTTCGGATTGCTGTGCTCAGTGATGGCACATTAAATTTTACAAAGGTAACTGTGCAAGACACGGGTTTGTATACATGCATGGTGAGTAACTCTGTTGGGAATACCACAGCTTCTGCCACACTGAATGTGACTGCCCTGGATAACCCCGGCTATACATATTTTTCGACTGTCACAGTAGAGACTGTGGAACCTTCTCAGGATGAGGCACAGACAACAGAGCAGGTTGGGCCCACACCAGTTACCAACTGGGAGACCACTAACATGACAACCTCACTCACTCCACAGAGCACAAGATCAACAGAAAAAACGTTCACCATTCCTGTGACGGACGCAAACAACGGGATCCCAGGAATAGATGAGGTTATGAAGACTACTAAAATTATAATTGGTTGTTTTGTGGCTATCACTCTCATGGCTGCTGTGATGCTGGTAATTTTCTACAAAATGAGGAAACAGCATCACCGGCAAAACCATCATGCTCCAACACGGACTGTAGAAATCATAAACGTGGATGATGAGCTTACAGGTGACACACCCTTAGAGAGTCACTTGCCCATGCCAGCAATTGAGCATGAGCACCTAAATCACTATAACTCTTATAAGTCTCCTTTCAACCACACAACAACAGTTAACACAATAAATTCAATACACAGTTCAGTGCATGAACCGTTATTGATCCGAATGAACTCAAAAGACAATGTACAAGAGACTCAAATCTAAAACGTTTATGACATTATGGGGTGGGGGTGGGAAAAACAAAATATGGTTTATAAAACAAATGACACAAATGACTGGGCTAAATCTACTGTTTCAAAAAGTGTCTTTACAAAGAAAAAGAAATTTATTTATTAAAAATTCTATTGTGATCTAAAGCAGACAAAATTATGTGTATTCCTCAGAACCTCTTTTTGCTGCACTTATTTACCCTTCTCCTCCCCTTTTTAATTCCCAGCCAATCCTGGTTCCCATTTGCCATATTTTTCATAGGAGATCTTGATTCCCTACAAGAACTGGCCTAGGAAATTTTGTAAGAATTCTGTTACACTTTGGGAATTTTTATGGTGAATTCTAGTGGTGAGATTCAGTCTATTTTGTCACTTTTTCTCTTCTTTTGTTTTCTCATGCCCGTTATGAAATTATTCAACAGGGAATGGAATACTAGCAGCAACTTTACAAGTGAGCAAACATACAAGCAAAACTTTTTTTTCCTCCATGTAATGATTTGATTATTTGCTCTGTATTTACCAAAGGAGCATTCTGTGAAAAAAAAAAAAAAAAAAAAGGAAGAAAAAGTAAAAAATAAAATAAAATTAATTTACTTGTGAAAACCTATAAAACCCATGATCTTTTAAGCAATTCTAGAACCAGAGTTTGTAGTTCAAACACTAAACTAAGATTATAAATAAAATACTGATTTTTTTTTTCTGTTCTTGGATATAGTTCATTTTCAGTGTGGCTTTAAAGATCAAAAGCTTGTTAAAATTCTTAGAACATTCTGCTTTGATGGTCCAAAAAATAATTGCTTTAAAAATAATAATTAAAATATTTTGGATCATTACTGAAGAATAACATAGTCTTCATTTTAGTGTACATAAGTAGCACACTAGCAAACAAGGTTGCTTGAATTTTTTAATGCAAAATTATGATTATTTTCTTTTAAAGGTGTTATCGGTTATCTTTTATATTACAATATCTATTCCACAATATCAGGAAAAGTTATACAAAAAGTTTCGGGTATCACTGAATTTATTAGACTTTTTTTTTTTTTTTTTTTTTTTTTTCTTTCTATAACTGTCAGTCAATAAGAAAATTCATTTTCTTTTATTGTATCAAAGCTAGTGGTTCCCAGTTTAGTTGTTGTGGTAATTCTAGACATAAATATGAAATATATTTAGATATCCTTAAGATCCATAATCAGAACTGTATCTCTATGTACAAAATTAAATCAAAATTCTTTTGAAGTTCTAACTATGAGGAAATCCAATAATTTTGATTAAAAAACAAAAAAATCAGAAAGAACAAACTTGGCCAAATCAGAAGAGAACGGGTTAACATGACTTGTATGACAGTTAGATTGCCTATGGCATAATCAGTCTATTTTAATGAAAACTCAGACTTGTTTACCAATAGGAAGTGTACATCCTTTTTGATTCTGTTCATATGCATTCTCTTGATTTAGCTAATTGTTATAAGAATGGAGTATACCTTGTATATTGAAAGCTAAAAAGTTTTTTGCATAAGAAAAAAAGAGTTTCAGGACACTGTATTCTTTCAAGTGCAGGAGTTCTTCCAAATGAAACTGCTTTATATATTGGCAACTAAGTAGAAGCATTTTAAAATAATTTAGGTTAAGAAAAAGAATCATGAATTAAATACCAGTTCTAAATGTCTTTTCACTGATTTCTGCATTTAGCTACTCATACTTTTGAGATTCAGGATTCTATTCCAGGTGAATAATGTACTTAATTCCTTACAAAATCTCTTTGGACTGTTCTGGTATGCTACACCATGCAGGAAACAGATCCTCCTGAACAGTATATTTCTATTCTCTAAAATTAAGGAGGAATATCTGCCAGACAGGTTGAGGGGGTAAATATCTCTCTTTGGCTGAACATTTCTCAAGGTTGCAAGTGAATGTTGCAAGAATGCCTGATTTAAAAAGGACACTGAAGATATGTGACAATGAATCACACTCTGCAAGGAGTCTGATAAGTATAATACAGAACAAAACCCAAAGTTCTATAATAATCTCAAAGAAACATTTGGCAAGACATTATCCTTTGATGTACTACATGAAAAATAATATCTACTCTTAGAGAATTTTAATAGAGGACAAAGGTGGACCTGAATGTAAAATGCTGAAGTAGAGATTCCTCTCTTCACCTACTTCTTCAAAGTGCATTACAGAATTTTATTGCTGATTTCTTTTAAGCATTGTGATAAATTTTGTACAGAAATACAAATACATAGCTATTTGTACTTTGCCCATTCTTATGGTTACCAATATTATGCCCATGCCCAGTGCTCATCTGACAATTGAAAAAATTGTTTGCATAAATCCTAAATCTGTAATCAACAGGTTCATATTAAGAAACAATGGCTACTATTTAACAGCCATTTTCTAAAGCACTTATGGTCACCATGGTTTTATAAACATGTAGTTTTTACTAACTCCTAAAGGTTAGGTTTTGGAGGTCATTGCAAAGCAGGACACAGTGTCAGTGACAGTATTACAGTGAAGCAATGCAAAATAACAACTGTGACTATTTAAAACAATATACACATTCTTATTAAGTATTAATCAGGTTATATTGGCTAAGTGAATAATATTAAAAACAATAAAAAAAAAGCAATATATTCCCATTTGCTTATTATAGGGATAAAGAAAAGGTATTTTAGTGTGTTTGCTTGGGATACGATATATATTAAGCAGGAACCATACTAGTTATGGCTTTCTCAGCATCTTCCCTATCCTTCTTAGAATTATGGAGATATTTTTGCAGATTATTTAAATACCAGAGTTAGAAAGCATCACAGCTTAAACTTTAAACTGAGTTCTGCAATAATGTGGAAGGTGTGCTGTGCACCCTCTTGTTATGGTTTTTAAATCAAGCTAATGCAGCCTGCTGCTACTCCAAAGATTATGGTGTTAAATATTAAAACTGAGTCTCCTGTATGGCAGAGGGCAATTGATAGTAAGCTCTAATATCTTGCAATAACATTCTGGATGAACCCACCATGCAAAAGAGTTGTGGGAAAAAAAGTGACCTTACAAACTATTACAATTCTTAGTGGGCTCATGAGAAGTTATTTTTCAGATCATATGATGAGATTTGAAGATGTTTGCCTGTTGTCCTATATGAATACAAAGAACAAAGCATTTTCTGGACAAGTCATTAAGTTTTACAAATCTTTTCTTTTACAAAAATAACATGTAAAGCAAAACAAGTGAGTTCCATTCAATTCACTATTCAAGATAGACATTTTATTTTACTTTGAAAAGGGCTAAATGTATGAAAAGTAAATGTTTTGGGTTTGTTTTTTGATTTTGTTTTTTTTTGGGGTTTTTTTGCTAAAATATTCTAATGCATTAAAAATTACAAGTAATATTTTCAACATTCCTTTCCCCACTGGTGGCATTATAGGTTAATCACAGCATTTGAGAAAAGATAACCAAGTTAATATTCAAATATACTAGCTTCATAGTCTTTTAGAAGTATTTAGTAACAGCTTTTATATGCTAGATACGACCATTCCTGTAGCCATTCACTGATCGGTGGAAAATCTTTCCAATCTGTTCTCCTCATTTTCCCATTTTTATTTGAATCATAGAATCTTAGAATGGCCTGGGTTGAACAGAATCACAATGATCATCTAGTTTCAACCCTCTTGCTATGTGCAGGGTTGCCAATCACTAGACCAGACTGCCAGAGCCAAATCCAGCCTGGATGAGCTAAGTACAGCATATTTTGAAATTTTCATTTTTTTTCTAATTCCAGGTACTGAAGGACTAGGAAATTTTAGGAGCTACCTTGTAATTTCATATTTTAAAAAAGTAAACAAAGAAGTAATATATTCTTATCTTCAAGATCTAGTAAGGAGAGTTAGACTTCAGTATTTTTCTGTTTTTCTTACTATAACTATTTCATATATCTTTTTCTCATTTGTGCAGATGCCCAAGAAATCTTCAGCTCAAACTTGTACGTGAAATTCAGTCTACAGTTAGGCTGACTATAGTGGTTGACATTTTATTTTGGAGGTGGTATTATCTATTGATACTGTGGTAGAATAGCATCAACAGCTACCACTACTGAAATATGGTAGTGCTAGCAGGGAGTTCATGAGAAGGGAATGGGCTTGAGGAGACTCTGGAAAACCTATCTGTTAAATCTTCAATGTCTGCTGGTGTTGCATACTCCTTCTGTGGTGGTGTCCCATGGAAACATTGTGGTGGTGTATACTTTGGGGTGGAAAGAGCATGGTATGGTAGAAAAGCTGTGAGATGGGAAGAACTTCCTTGAGTACTTCCCACCTAACAGTACAGTATAATAACTCAGCTTCTAACATGTAGCGCATGGCTTGAAATGAGGAAATTATTTTTATTTATTAGATTTAAGGTTCAGTGTGCACTAAACAACTTTAAACGTTAAATAGTTAAAAAAGAAAAAAAGAAAAAAGAAAAAAAGAAGCCACAGGTTTACAGTGTAAATTTTACACAAACAACAAAGTCTTCAACAGAATGCTAAACTTGTTTGAAGAAGTTTGGGTAAGTCTTTGCAGTACTAAGAACTCTTAGGAACAAATGAGATCTGTACTGGAGTAGTTACATGTTTCTATTTGCTTCAGAAAGAATAACTCATGATTTGGTTAGGGGAGTTTTATTGGACAAAACAGTGTTTAATTTGTCTTGGTTTTAGTTTTGTCTTTTGTACTTTATCAACTTACGCCTAGGATGTTATTCAGAGTAATCTCAAAAGGGCTAAATCGGTGAACCCTGACTGACTTTTGTAACAGATAAGTATATTCTATACTGTAATTCTAATGACGTTTTCAATTTTGGAATGGTGAGGATATTTTGCAATGATGACATCATAAGATGATGATTTTATGACTATCTTTTGTAGAAGAAAAAGGAAAATAATGTCTATCATTTTTGAGAACATCAAAAACCCAATCTTATGCAAAAATAGAAAATAGTTGGAAAAAGAAATTGGAACATTATTGAAAATTACAGTAAATGTAATGATTCCTGGAAGTCAGACAATCTAGGTGATCTTTACATCTTTTCCAATAGCACAAAACAAAAATTTGAGTGACTTTTCTGTATATTGTTAAAAATGTTAAAAAATTTCTGGCTGTCCTAGCCACAGATTTCCATTTTCATTTGAATATCACAGTACATGTATGATGTAATGTGGTCTTTCAGCTCTGGAACAGTTTCTCAGACAGTCCATCCACGCTTCATCCATTGCAGGTTCATGTTTAACATTCTCTTGGGCTGTCCTCGGTCTTGAAATGACTTGTGCAGTGAAAGATTCTTCAGTTTCTTTGAACATCTAGCTCAATAGCAATATATACTTCGTGTATCAGTTTGGAGAAGATGGTTTTGTATAGATTATATTTTCATCAGATTTAATATATAAATGGAAATTTTATTTTATTTTGGTAGACAATGTTGAATCCTGTTAACTTA